AAAAAAAAAAAAAAGATAAAAATAAAAGATGAAGAGGACAACATTAAGATGGAGGAGGAGGATCTGATCAGGAGAGTCAGATGCTAAGAAGAGGAAAAAGACAAGGGCTGGGCATGGCGGGCAGAAATGTCATCAGGAAGATGCGGGGGAGGGGCCCTGAAAGACCACTCTCTCAAATGAAGCAGCAACTGCTTCAGGGCTGAGATGAATATGTGGTTTTAAGGATGGGGAAATGTGTGTGTTTTTGAGTCTGCGAACCAAGACAAGAAGAATAGCAAATAGAAAGACCACCTAGAGATGGTTCAGGGACATGAGCACAGTTTATCCTTAAAAAGAGACACACTCTTCTCACTTCGAAACAGAAGAGAAGGATCAGATGGAAACACAGTACTGATGGTAAAACATAATGACAATAGCAATTATCATGTATCAAGAGCTTATTTGGTGCCACAATTGTCCTAAACAGCTTTCATAGCACTGACTCATTTAATACTCATGTGGAAACTGAAATAGGAAATGTTAAGTAACTTGTCCAGGGTCACATATGGAATACATGGTGGGACAGGGATTTGAATCCAGAGCTCATGCAAGAAGCAGCTTTCTACACTACACTAAGGAATTAATAATGATCCAGAGGCTTTCAAGAGAGTTTTTAAAATGTACTAAGGGCATCACTCTAATAGAAAAGCACAAAATGAACAGCAGTAGGAGGTGTTAGAGGTGGAGTAGAAATTAGGATGTAAACGCCCTCACTCAGGCAGGCATGAGAAAGGCTGGCACAGGACAGTGTCAGTGGGAACAGAAAAGAAGAGCAGACAAGGCATTAGCAACAGACATGACTGTAGGAGAGGAAGGCCATGATTAAAAGGAACTGCACAACCTATTATACACTAATAAAATCTCCGCCAGCCTATGTAGGAAATCATAATGTTATCACTGGGATCCTAAAAGTTGAATCACACACATTTCATGCTCCTGCAGGGGTGGATCCACATTTTGGAGGGCCTGAAATTCCTACATTTTGCAAGGGCCCTCTTAAAAGAAAAGAAAGAATACAAAAGTAGAAAGTGAACAGAGAAAAGTACAAGTAAAAAAAAGTGCAAGTGTTTTGTGTCTAAGCACCTCTGCCGCTGGGTCCTGTCACTGAGGGTTCATGACATGACAAGGCTGGCCTGCCCTCGGTTCTGGGCCTGCCCAGGGCCAGGCTGTGCTCGGGCACCACCTAGAGGCCACTGTGCTCTCAGCACACCTCTGGATCCTGAGGTGGCTGTGGATTCCAGGAAGGCAGCAGCCCCAGGAATGTCCCTATTCATTGGGACCCATCTCAGAAGCTCACCCATAGTGGGCAGGGAGAACAGGGAGGAGCTGGAGATCCACTTCCCTCCACCCGACAGGAACCAGGGCCACCCCCCTTTTTCGGGAACAAAGATCTGGGAAGAGACAGGAGCCTATTACCATCTACATTATCCTGGGCCCATTATCCCAGGCCCATTATTGGGTGAGAGGAGCAACTGTATTTTGCTTTGTAAAGACCAAACTAAGTAAGCAGTTGGACATTGCTTCTTACATTTTGGTTCACACTCCTGTCATAAAATAAACAAAAGGGAAAAAAAAGCAATAGTTTTATTTAGAGCCCAAAAGGGACTATTTTGAAACATTAACAGCTCTAAATTTATTCAAACAATAGTTGTATCTGCGTGGCAGCAAAAATGTTTTGGATGTAAGTTACTAAAAATATATATATACTCACACACTGATAATTACTCAAATTCAATTTCCCTAAGAATTAAGCAAGATATTAATAGATGGTAGGTATGTAAACACTAGACTAAACTAAGTTACACAGGTTTCCTTATTGCAGGATTCCTCAGAGTCTTTATTATTCTAGGGATACTGTAACTTTCCAAGAGGAGGATACGGTATAAAAAAGCCCACAAATGTATCTAGCCACAGAATCCTTGTTTCACAGACTATCCGGCTCCAGGAACACATTTTGGGAAACACTCCTCTAAATCATAGAAAGGGCATCGACAGAGGCTCAAAACATTAGTATTTTACAAGACATGCAAAATGTTAAAATTTTAAATGTATTATTTTTCAACTTAATATCAGTTTCTTATTTTTTTAATGTACAGCTACACTAA